ATATTATAATTTTTTATTAAAATTTACAAATCATATAAACTAAAATAAATGGCGACGAATTTTGGTATGGTATCGTTGTGCTACCAGTAGCCTTATTCATACAGCCCCCCGTTGTCTTGTTTCTGTGTACATTTATTTTCAATTTTAATTTATCTTCTGGGGTTTTTCTTTTTGTGGTTAGATTCTAGAGTTTGAAGATAAAGCAACTTAATGCTAAAGGACACAGGGCCAACCACCATAACACCTACTTTTAATGCTTGATTGAAACCTCATAATATCACTATTTCTATATTTTACCCCAATATTTACTCATTTTATGATTGGATTATTTTTTTGAAAATTGCAATTTGAAATATTTTTGTCTACATAACACCTACCAAAGAAATTACAATACACACACACATGCACGCACACACACACAAAGAGATTACAATACACACACGCGCACGCACACACACGCGTGCATATTAGTAGGTTTCCCGTGTGATTTACAAGATATGTCTTTCCCCGCATCACCCTATCCCACCATTTTCTTCATATTTTTGGAGAATTACCTATTGATGACATAAAATAATTTTTGCAAAATGTGAAATAGTGAAAAAAAATGACTAAAAATTAAAATTTAACAATAGTTTTAAAAATATAATGGGGAATAATTACAAAAGATGGTGAGAAGTGCTAAATAAACTAAATGGAATAATTTTGATTGGAGGAACTAGTTATATATTGGGTAAATCCCATGAATACCCATCTAAACTATAGTTTTCATTTTAAATTACCCCGTGAACTTTCAATTATTCCAATTTTTCCCTTGAATTATGTAATTTATTTCAATCAACCCATTTTGTTAAGATTAACCGTTAATCTTAAAAAATTATTTTATCTATCAGTTAATCTTAATGGAATGGATTGATTGAAGTAAGTTACATAGTTTACAGGATAAATTAGGACAACTGAAATTCAACGGTCAATTTAAATTAAAAACCATAGTTCCAGAGGGATTTATAAGATTTACCCTTAAATATTTCAAATTCTCAAAAAAAATTCAATTTAGCACGTTAATAGATAAATCTTCAATAGGGGTGAGGGAGAGGGTGAGGGTGAGGGTGAGGGAGGGGGCACGAATAGGGTGATGGCATAGCCGGCTAGACCATAAGGCCACCAGATGGGGTCACCACCCCCCCCCCCCCCCCCCCCCCCCCCCCCCCC